AAAATACATAAACATAACATGTAAAGCGTATTCAAATGAAAATTTAAAAATAAAAGCAAACATATAAAGCATTTTCAATCATGTAAAACCCACAATCTCTTTTTTGACTTAATTGCATTGCTTCAAGTAGTTAATGTGATGTAAAACATATTGCATTCTTGATTTTTTGAGTCGCCTTTGTACCACGCCCCTCGAGGCAAGCCCGAACAAGTCTATGTTAGGGTCTGAACTTCTTGTTTCTCACATAAAAAATAATGATTTTATAACTTCTATTGCCTTTTAAGAAACATGTCGGAAATGTCAGAAATATCATATGAAAATATTGTAAAAATTATAGACATGGCAGAAATGGGCGAGGCGCATACCCCAAAGTGCGCCTCGCTTGTGCACCTGAGGCGCGCCTTTTAAATCACTAGGTGACAATTGTGGTGAGGTTATCAAGGATGTAAAGTAATTCAAAAGACTTGTGGGAAGTCACCTATATTTGTCCATGACCCGGCCAGACATTGCTTATGTCGTAGGTGTTCTTAGCCAATTCATGCATGCTCCTAAGACCACACACTTAGAGGTAGCCAAGAGAATCCTCAGATATCTAAAGAAGTTTCTAGGAGTTGGTTTGCTATTCCAGAAGAAAGGGCATTTAAAGATTGAAGTGTATACAGATGTTGATTGGGCTGGATCAGTTGACGACAGAAAGTCCACTAGTGGATATTGTTCTTTTGTGGGAGGAAACCTAGTCACATGGAGAAGCAAAAAACAAAGCGTGGTGGCTAGGTCTAGTGTTGAAGCTGAGTATAAAGCAATGTCCCATGTGGATAAAGAATTTGTTGAGCAAACTGGGTTTTCCATTTGATAGCCCCATGTCCTTGTATTGTGATAACAAGGCTGCCATCAACAATGCAGCCAACCCAGATCTTCATGATAAAACTAAACATATTGAGGTTGACAAACACTTTATTAGAGAGAAAATTGTTAATAGGGAAGTGTGCACCCCATATGTTAGTTCTAAGGAGCAACTTGCAAATATATTTACAAAAGGCTTACATCACTCATGGCATGATGACTAATGTGTCAAAGTTGGGCATGATTGATATCTATGCCCCAACTTGAGGGGGAGTGTTGAATAAGCTAGTCTTACTTTAGTTTAGTGCCGCAAGGGCACATATGTAATTTTACATTGTTTTATTTTTTGAATGGTCGCCTAATATAAAATATCAAAAAGGCTGGTGCCGCCAACTGATGTTCTTCTCTCCAAAACCTTTTTTCTCTTTTCTCTCTTCTCTCTTCTCTCTTCTCCCTTCTCCCTCCTCTTCTCTCACTATTCTGAGATCCTGTTGTGTGTTTACCAAGAAAACAGTGTTCGAACCCAAACTTGAAGTAACGTTTTCATCCCTTTCTTTTGCAAATTGAAACCATTTACTTTTGTTTTCATTCCGTTTTGGTTGTTTAATGATGTTGGTAACATGTTAGACTGGGATGAGCTGAAGATTTGGGGGAGGGGTTCAAATCTATATTGTTTCTTTGTCGTTTGACAGTATAATGGAACTACTTGTTCTCTATTTTCTTATATCACTATATTTCATTTGATGAAGAAGTGGTTTAATTGAAGATTCAGTTTTAGGCTATCTTTCTTCGAACAAATGCATAAAAGGGTAATCCAATATTTTACTCATTTTGCATCTGTTCTCCCAAGAAAGTCTTTCATTAAATTCTTTCATCCAGATTGGATGAATTAAGGGGGTTTTGATTTTTTGCATGGTGCAATGTCCTTTGACAACATCTGGGATGAGATCAGCCGTACTGGGTTGGGGAGTCCCAATAATGGGGACCCCCAAATCTACATTGTCAGCTGGTGTACTATTTTTTCATTCCCAAGGCTCAACCAGAAGCTTACTACATAATTGGCACGTTGGGAGAGAGGTTCTTTGAAGGATGTAACCAGGCCTATATCCTAAAATCTGGAATACAGAAAGGTCCAGCAGAACAACCCCAAGGAGGTCCCAGACGCAGTGTCTGTAGTACCAACAAAACCAGATGAATCAGGAAACAGTGAAGCTGAAGAGATCATGTGCAGAGGGAAGGATTCATATAAAGAGTATATAAAGAACTTCTTGGCTGCAATCCCCTTGAGAGAATTACAGACAGATATCAAGAAGGGGTTGATGGATTCTACACCTTTGCACCACAGGCTGCAAATTGAATTCCACTGCACAGAGTTCCGACAGCCAGCACCTGAACCTCCAGTAGTAGAAGCAATAGTGGCAGAAATGGGGGTGGTGGTAAAAGAGGTGATCTGCTAGAAGAGTTGTGTAAATATTTTAGGGGAAAGTGTGACTACTCTAATCTTTTTTATTTTTCTTATAATTATGGTAGTGTGGGGTAGATTTTGAGTTAAATGGGTCAAGGAAAGATGAGCCCATTTAAGTTTTGTTTTGAGTGTTTTTTTTCTTGTAGAGTGTTCTTGTTCTGTGTGTTATAAGAGCATCTCTATCAAACGTGTGTTATGTGTCTATGACAGACCTATGTCTTATTATTTTTCCTGTTTATTCTGGGTAACAAAGGGTACTCGGATGGTGGCCGTGTACATGACTGTGGATTTGATGTTTATTAACTTTATTTCTCCAGATGTAATTTCCAGTATACTATTGGAATTTTTTCTCTGAACTTCAAATATCATTCATTTCAGGGATTTAATGAAAAAAAGAATAATTTTGACTTTGAAGACAAGATAGCATGCTCTCTCATGACAAATGACTTTTCTCTTAAATAAAATTAGAAATTTAGCTTCTCGCTTTGGGCAGGTGGTTTTTAGATATGTTTATGATCTCTTGTTAATGTATCTGCCCATAAACATTGTTTGTAAATTGTTTCGTTGATGTGAAATGAAATTGCTAGTTTGCCTATCAAAAATAGCCCAATAATGTAGGCAATTCTTAATATGCAACTGGAACTGTGTCTTGTAGTGAGGTTTGTTAGACCAAACTGAACATGAGTTGGATTTCAAAGTTAGATAATATTGATCTAGAAAAAGACCAGGTGGCAGGTGCATCTCAATCTAAGAAACCCTAAGAGGTCCCATGGGTTCCCTCTACTTGCTGAAAATTGACCTTAGTGGCTACACTTTAATAGCAATGAAGTATAAGCAAACCAAACATTTTTCTCTCAATTATTTATTTTCCTCCAAAACAAACATGGGAAAAGGAATTTTCTGTGGAAATTTCACACTTTCTCATCCCATCCCATCCCATCCCACCCAAATTTTCTCACAAGCCAAAATAGAGCCTATGGTTTTGATCAATCCAAACAAAAGAGACAAATTTCAAATGATTTTGGCAGTTTGATGCTGGGACCATATGGAGCGGTATAAAAAAAGGGAGAAAGATGAAGAAAGTTACCCAGATGAGACAAGAGATTGCTATATTAGACAGTGGGCATGATGAGAAAATGAACAAAGTTTAAGTTGAGCTTTTCATCAGTTGGATTGTTTGGTTTCAGGATGTTTTTCATAAAAGTGGATAATATTTTCATATCATTTCATCTGATACCAATAAGCAATGAACATAAAACTCCTCAGTTCCTCTTCAATGGTATTCATAATTTAATGGGTAGAATTTGGTGATTGCAGAAATAGGTGTATGTACCAGGTCTCTCAAGAAGCAAAAATTTATCAAATTAGGAGCTTTATGTTCAAATTCAATTTCTTCATGAATTCTAGAACTTAGGAGAATAGAATTTCATGCATTTAAACAGCTAAAATTCAAAAATTCAAACACGTACTGGTGCATCCAGACTCTCTTGAAAACCACTTATCTGACAACATGGACAAGAATACATGATATAAAACTTTAACAGGACTTTCATCAATAATATTTTTACATTTTCCCAACAAAAAATAGAGGTTCTCTCAGCCAACACGACCATTGTTATCCAGAAATATCCAAAAATAATTTTATTGACTGACCTAATTCATAGATACAGGAAGAAACATGCCATTCAATTTTATGCAAGGCAATATCAACTAATCAGGACATGATAAAGAAACCTAGTATATACACTTCAGAGCATCTGTAGTCTCCAGTGTGTAACAACCCTAAAGAAGCAAATCAATAAAGAAATCAAAAATATGATTTTCTTTTGACACCAGCAAAACATACAAATACCAGACAATATCAAAAGCAAAAACAATCAGAAAAAGGAAATGCACATTAGAAATGAGACTTCCTAGTAGAGGAGAAAAGAACATTATCCACTGTCATACCTAACTCACCTCCCATCAGAACTCCCAGTAGTCAAAAGAACCTTAGAATTTGAAGCATCACATGCAAATTTTCCCCAGCTAATTGCAGTGACCCATGAACTATGAGCCTCAAGGAGTCCTATGAGCATCATATCAACTGAAACCTTGCTGTCCTCAGTAGAGTAGCAGTGTGGTTCATGTATTCTCCACAAAGAAATTTTACCAGATTTGCTTCCCACTGCCAGAAGAGTGCCGTCACTGTTGAATCTATCTGTGGGTGTAGTATCAACATCAGATGATACTTGCAACAAAGGTGACCAGGCAACAACAGTTGATGATAAAATTGCATTGCGAGAAGCATACTGCCCTGCATTTAGCAATGGAGAATAATCATTTTCTCTCATCCTCTTTGGATGCTTCCCTTCAGATGTAGGCACAGAAGAAGTTTGCCCCAGACTATTTTCTCTGAGCTTCTCAGTCTTGATCCTCAGAAGAGTAACTTGCCATGCTCTTAGCTCAGCATTCCATAATGGTGCCACTCGAACTGTGTTAGCATCTAATGTGAGACAGATGCTATCACCTGTAGCAAGAAATAAAAGAACATTCAGCACCATCATGATATGCCAGCAAAGTAAGACAAATATATACTGAAATAGGTGATTGCTAGACTAGGGAAAAAACACACAAGTAAAAATAAATGAATAAAGTACAACAGATTGTAACAAAAGTTACCAGGCATTTTGTATCAAGGTTTTAAAAACCGACCCGGAGACAGAACCGTTCTAGCTACCAGTTTCCGGGTCAGCAGTTCGACCGTCCAGATCGAATGGTTCGGACGGTTAGCATATTAGGGCAAATATTTTATAAGAGACTATGAGATATGAGATTTGAGAAAGGAGAGAAGATGTTGTCGGCTGAGAAAGAAAAAAAAAGAAAGAAGAAAAGAAAGAAATAAAGGAGAAAGGAAAGGAAGGAGGGAAGAAGAAGGAAGAGGAGGGTGGTTTGGATGGTTTCCGGGCCAAATGGTCCGACGGTCTAGATCAACGATGGTTCAAAAACATTGTTTTGTACTGGCAAACTAAGTCAACACCTTGGCAACTAGTATGTGTCCTTGAGGTGATAAAATACATACATAAACATATCTGATAATGTATTTATCAATGTTTAGGAAACTGGATCGGACCAGCAATCCGATCCAGTTGAACAGTGACCCAGGCCCTGGCCGGTTCGGTCACAACCAAGAACCAGACTTGATAAAACCTGGTGAAAACTGGATGACCGGCAAGTTTAACTGGGAAACTGGCGAATCAGTCCTAGTTTCATGAAGTCACTCGGGTCATCAAATATTTGAAATTTCAAAACGCATGTGACAAGAGTTGAATTCATGACCTCTTGTTTTTATGTATTTCTTAATTACCATTAGTCCACTTCTTTATTTGTGTAAACTAATGACTATTTTACATTTACATTTACATTTACATTTACATTTACATTTACATTTACATTTACATTTACATTTACATTTACATTTACATTTATATTTATATTTATATTTATATTTATATTTATATTTATATTTATATATTACTTTATTACACACATGTTTAAAGAAAATGTCAGCTCAGAAACTTGAACCCTGGTCATTTGCTTTAAAAATTAACTTGCCATCCATCCACCATATTTTGATATGATAACATTTGTAAAATATATTATATCCAATAGTATATATACACATAGCCATGTCATCAGAGTTCAACCCCGACTGAACCTTTGAACCATGAACCCTTTTCTAGTTCTATGTCTGGTCTGGTTCTCTGAACATTGGTATTTATATAACAATTCATGGGGCCACTGCTTGGTGCAATGGTAAAATATTGTCTGAATAGTGTGAGAAAGTGATCCAAGTCTGACAGCAGACACACTTCATGCTAGTATGCCAGATGATATTTTACCATTAGTGGTTTAAGTTATAAAACAACTATATTTGATATAAAGTTTCTTCAAGCTAGAAATTATATAATCACTTGAGCAAACCAGATAGGAATTAGTTATTCCAGCTTGTTTTTTTTCTTATCAGCAGTCAAAATAGATTATAAAAGCTTACATGAAAACAAATGATAATCAAAGTTTTAAAATACAGGCATGACATGAGGCATTCCACTACCTGAAAACATGAGATGTAGTTCAGAATAGGATTGTCAATGGGTCAGGTCTACTATACAGAACCAAACTGATTGCATAGATTCTGGTTCCATATTCTGTCCCATTGGATCAGTTCCAGTTCCAGTTCCAGTTCCAGGTTTTGTGTACAAAATAGTAATTTTTATTTGGGGTTAAAAGATTTGTTCAACAAAAGGCCCAACCCTAGCTGCTCCGTCCATTTGAACTCAAAGATACAGGGAAAGTTATCCCTTCAACTTCGCCTCGTTAATTCATCTTCAGGTCCACCTATTCTCAATCTGTGGGATCATGTGTTGTGCAAAACTAATAACTAGGACTGTTCATAAGAAGGCCCAACCCGAGTCGGACGGGTTTTCATCAGCACCGATCGGTTTCAGGTTGTACAAATTCATAAACCGATGGCTTGGGTCGGTTTCGGTTTTCTTGTGTGAAAACCGAAACCGAACCAACTTAGTTCCTACTTAGCTAAGTTGTCTCTATCCTAATTCCTAATTACAACCTAACCTAGTCTTCTAGTTAGGAAAAACATTAACGGCAAGTATTGTAAGAAAACTAGACAAGGAATTTTTTTGGAAAAGTTTAAAGAAAAAAATCAAAGGATCCTAGTTTCTATAGTCTTTTACACCAAATAGGCAATTACAATTAGAATTAGGTGTCCTTTTTTACTTAGATTAGAACTTAGAAAGTTTCTTGAAATATACAAATTTCAGTCTTATTTCTCTAATACAGTTTGACTTTCTATTTTATTGATAACTTCTGTCTTCTATTCTAATTCTAACTTGGTCCGCCCCCCTTAGCCCCTCAACTCAAGCACAATCTCTATTCTCTAATACAAATCGACTCTCAACTCAAGAATCAAAATTTTAAAATTTCAAGTTCTCAAGTCTCAACTTCAAAACAACATTTGAACTTGGCTCTCCCAACACCCATCTTCTCAAAGTTTTGTCATTTGTGATGTTTTATCTAACTAGTAAACCACTGCAAAATTACCATGGAAAGAGTCTTGTAAGATTACCCACAGAGCAAGGAGATATTCAGTCATCTCTTTTAACTTGTGGTACAGCTGCCTTTTAATAAGATTTGGCATGTGTGCAGGCAAACACTATGTCACAATTTTAGTGAAACATGCTCCCAAGCTTCTATTTTAGTATATTTTTTTCTTACTTTATCCAATGACACAAAGAGTCTATTTAGGTGCATGAAAGATTGAAAAAATAGGAACTTGATGGACTTAGAGCCGAAACCGTCCCAAACCAACCCAACCCGACTCAAACCGACCAGGTCGGTTTTGCTTAACACTGGGTCGGTTTCGGTTTCCATCTCAGGTAACCCGACCAGGTCGGGTCGGTTGGAAAAACCTCAGTAAACCGACCCAACCCGACCCGTGAACAGCCCTACTAATAACACCCCTTAGTTGATTCTCCATCAAGGCATATTGAAGAAAACTAAGTGATTAAAGCTTCAAGATTCTAACTAGACCTGTTCATGGGTCTGGTAGCCCAACAGGCCGACCTGGCCCGACCTATTCATGGTCAGGCATGGACAAGATTTTAGGCCCTCAAGCTTGAGCTCAGGTCCAAAACGCTAAGCCCAATCCCAAGCCCAACCTGATAATATTTTATATAATTAAAAATATATTTTATAATATATATATATATACATATATATATTTTTTCTTTGTTCCTCTTCTTTTTCTCATGTAAACGAGATCTTTTAGTATTTTTTGGGTTTTGAGGCCATTTAATATAAATAAATTAGTTTTATTGTTGAACAAAAAATATATATATATATCTTCTTGCCCAACTTCTTGGTCGGACTTCAGGCTTTATACGAGGGCCGGGCTCAGGCTCAAGATCTAGGCCCAGTGGTAGGGTCGGGCTCAGGCACAGGCCTGAACACATTTTATTAATATAGAGGCAAAGCCCGACCTGGCCCATGAACAGGTCAACTTCTGACCTAACCCCATCCCCTGGCCATCACACAGCTAGCCACAACACCTGTGTGGCTCTTTGTTCACCCTTCAGCATAGAAACCCTATTTTGTGGATTGCAAGATACGTTTTCTCCTCATCACTCTGAAATACTTATTGTGATGAAGAAGTAGGTGAATGAGGCTAATGTTTTTTTTTAATCTTCTTTGATCTGCCATGTGAATGAAGTTGTTGATCTTTGATCTGCCATGTGAATGAGGTTGTTGATCAACCCTCTTACTTCTCATTTTCTGTTGATTCTAGAAAGAATATTAGTAGTTGTCTTAGTTGTTTAGTTACAAACTTACAATTCTTACAAAAACAGTTCAGATCCATTAGGTGTGGAGAGATGCTGAGGCTATACTTCTTCCATATTATTCACCATTATTTTGTGCAGGTGGTTAGATATAATCAGGTCTTATCGGGTCAGACCTGATTGTTCAGATTACCAACTGGTTCGGTTCTGGGTCTGAAATTATAGAACCTATAGGGTCTGGTTCGTGACCAGGACAGGGGGTTCTCTTATCAGTTCAGGACTGGTACACCCTGTCCCAAACCAGACCCTAACCCATTAACAGACCTAGTACACAAGAGGTGTGAGCCTCCAGAGCACAAGTAGGAGGAGGAGGAAGAAAAGAAAAGGATGAAGAGGAAAGAGGATGTCATCTTGTTTTTGTTGTTTCATTTTGACAAAAGACATTTGTTTCTTTTATATTTCTTTCCCACCCCTTCCCTTTCCTTTTCTTTTCTTTTCTTTCTTCTTTTCTTTTAGTATTAGGCATGCATGAAGCACCTGACATGTATGCCTCTCCCTTCCCTTCTCTTTCCTTTTCTTTTCTTTCTTTCTTCCTTTCTTTTTGTACAAGGTACATGAGGTGTATGCCTCAAAGGCATCAACATCTCTAGCATGTGCCTCAGGGAGCTTTTGGGGCATCTCAACTGGAGGCATGCCTCCAGGTGTAGACCTCCCACGCCTTATAAAACATTGATGATAATTAATGCATAAAAAAACAAAAAACTTGCAGCACATCAGTAAGAAGTATTTTAATTTTTTTGATTGGTAATAATGAAGCAAGAAGTATAATGATGCAAATGATAACTTACCAAAAGCTTCTATACAAGATAAGGACCAATAAGTTGTTTTTCATTATACATAAGAGCAAATGCAATATACTCGTTCAGGAACACAATCAGACCAAAACATACCAGTAAGTTTCACCAGTAAAGCATGACCATTGAAGCCCATAAATAAGCCTTCCACCCATCTGCACATTGACATATAAATACCAACTCTAAAATTAATATAACACAGTTGAGAAAGCGAACTCTCCAAAATTAATTGAAATCTAGAATCAAAAAGCCTAAGTTAAAGTACAGCCTTGTAGCATTCTGCTCAGTTTGTATGCATGGTGGATAAAATTACATCATTTCATCAATCACACCCACATGGGAGAAGTAGGACTTGCAGATCTGACTAGAAACCTTGATCCCCACTAGGTAGTAGAAACCGGTGTTGGACACGGACAAGGGAGTTGGAATCTGACACATCTATGGGACTTTAACCAGCAAGTTGAGAAAACACGAACTCACAGATAAGGCTGCAACTTGGGCTGGGTTAGCCCAAACACAACCTGAAAAAGTTGGGTCCAGTTATGTTGGATTGAAGTTTGGATTAGAGTTAGAGCTGAAAAGTACGAACCTGACTTAACTTCAGGTTGGCTTAGGGTAGACTAGAGACCTTGGCCAACCCACCCATCCTAAACCAAACTTAGCTTCATATTTGTATGTATAAATATTGTGCATGCATGTATAAATATTATGTATCTATCTGTATGTTTGTATATATCGATGTTAACAATTTCAATTTTAAGGACGTTTTTTTCAAAAGCAATGATAACTATGTCTTTTTACATATAATAATGCTAAAAATAAATTAACCTCAATCCTTGAGTCTAGGAAATAAGAATATTCGGCAAAAGGAAGTAAAGAAGTCAGTCCAACTGGGTGCCAACCCAACCTGAAACTCCAAGTCGGGTTAAGGTTAGGGCTGAGGGTTCCACAGTTCAGGTTGGGTTAGATTGACCTCAACCTGACCCAACCTGGCCTGACTAGCATCCATACTCACAGGCACATCTATGGAAAAGTATAAACTAATTAAATAGTTCATATTTTTTAATTCTAACACAATACACCTGCAAAAAAATGTTGTCTTTGTTACTATCTTTGATACTAGAAAATGGCATTCATCTTGTACATTAGCTGTTCGTTTATGTCAAATAATCAACGAGATAGAAATGAAATATTATGTAGAACTCTCCTCAAGAATCCATGGAGTGTCAGCCTCCAATGCATGTCCAACATGGGCACATCTATCTAGAAGAGTCCGATGCATGTCCAACCGGGTTTTTCATGAAAAACCCGGAAAGCCCAATTACACTTTAATTGAGCTAATAAATCGACTTTCTGGTGAAGTTAGTTTTAGAAGATTCTTCAATATGGCTCAGTTGGTGCAGCTCAATCAAAGCTGAAGCCCTCCAAAACGGGCTCTTAGCTTCTCAGCCAATCTAAACTAACACACCACTTGGTTCTTCGCTTCACTGCCATGATCCTCAAAAATAATATCTCAAGCATGATTCCTACACCATTTCTGATTAATTGTCTCCTTTAATGTTGAATAAAGAGGTTATTGGTAAAGCAGTTCTACAAATATAAGTCCATGCAATAAAGAGAGGTGTTCATTAATCAATGATTAGCAATTGGTCAAGATAAAGTAAAGAGCATTCAACACATTTAAACAAACAAAAACTTAACTGACAATTCCTTAGCAGTGCATAACAGCTATAAAGATAAAACATGCTTGTTAGGAAATCAATACAGAATAGTGAAACTGATGTAGGACCAGCTCAGTTCTAGTCCTTAGAAAATGTTGAATGGTCTGTTTGGATCAGAATTTTTTGGCTGTTGATGGCTGTAATGGCTTCATGAAGGAATAAGAGAGAAAACGTCCATAATAATCCATTGCCTTTCAGGGAATCACTCACCATAACTAGAATCACTCTAGGGCATTGGAATCACTCAACATAACTAGCATAAGCTGAAGAAAACTCAATATAATTCATTGCCTTTCTGTAAAACGTCCATACATATTTATAGACTCTAAAACCATAATAAGCCTAGGAGTCGAGCTGTTTGACTCATAATAGTCTTAGGAGTCAAACTGTTAGACTCATTAATCCTAATAGGACACAAAGTAAGTTGTCATATCCGATTTCAATTCAAAGAACACTCAATAACCCTAATCCTACTTATGCAATGACACTGAAATTTTAAACATAAACAAACTATAACTAGACAATCAAACCCTATTATTGGACCCACAAAAAATTGCAAAATGACAAAAATACCCCTACTGTCAAAATATACAGAAATACATAAAATATCATAAAATTCCAATTCTGCCTCTTCAGCTCCTGCATCAGAAACAAACAAAAAATTATCTGTATGCATGTATATGTGTGTATGATGAACAGAATTTATGCATCGATAGAAAAATATGAATTGCCTATGAAACTAATGAGCAGGTTCATAATTTACATTATTCATCCAGAATGAATACAGATTACCTATTATTCATAAAAGCTTCCACCACTTGCCCAATTCTGAGAATTTCCTCCACCCCATGACATTTATCCAGAAAAAGTTGATCTGGAAGATTGCCCACATTCATGGAAGGACGAATTTTTGGCGAAGGAGCATCCTGATCAGCCATAGTATTGCTGATAACACTTGAATTTTTTGTGCTATCATTTACAGGGTTGAGATCAACCCATTCCTCTTGCTTCTCTGGAATAATAAAATGCACTAATGTGAAAATATAATAAATGCCATTACATATGTATCTTAATCAAATTAAAAACTCAACTATACCATTATCCATCAATTCTGAGAAGCGAACAAGAGCTTTTGCACCATCCATGCATTCTATTTTTCCACAGAACCAAATGTGCTGAGCCCCAATATGTGTTAGAACCTGTAAATCCACAGCACTATGTATAAACAGTGGAAAAAATGTGATAAACATATTACTTTCAAAGCACAAATAAGATTCCAAACCTCTACTGGAGATCCTTGTTTGAAAATTGAGCAAGGGAAGGAGACTACTTCTTTATATGCTGTAATCAACTTTTTGTTACATGGTAGCAAGCTACCATTTGAATCCACACCATCTCCTCCATGTGATATTTGGTTTGCCAAAGTTCTTGTGTTGTCAAATCTGAACAGTGTTTGTGAAAAGAACTAAGATTAAAGGATAAAGAAAGAAATGCTAAAAATGTGGGTGGTAAACCGCTTCTGTGATTTAAAAAATAACAATGAGAAGAGAAAATAGAGTAGAGAGAAGATAAGAGAAAAGGTTTGCAGATATAACTGTAGGAAGATTCTTGGCTGTCTCTTCCTTCTATTTCTTCATTATGTAAAAATACTGGAGTAACAAATTACCCTTACAACAGCATTTACGCATGTCCAGCTGAACTTGGTAAGTACATTAATCAATTAAGCCTTTCCTACAGCTTTTTAAAGAACAAGAGGTCACCTGTTTTTACAAAAGCTAAACAAATAAATTGAAGCCTATTTTCCCCCTAATGAAGTATCTGTCTACTTCCATATGCTTTGTTTTGTCTTGCTACACTGGATGTTCAGAAAAGATAGTTGTTGCCTTATTGTCACAATACAAATTCATAGCACCTTACAGCACAACCCAACTCCTACAATACCATATTTATCCAGAAATGTTTGCATACTTTATGTTCCATTACCCTATACCCTACCTCTATGTTGGAATGATCCACTACAAACTGCTTCTTGCGCCTCCATATGACAAGGTTACCTCCGATGAAGGAAAAATACCCAAATGTAGATCACCTATTTGTAACAAATCATGCCCAGCTTGCATGTGTATGTGTGTGAATGTATTTGATCAGTAACAATGAAAATTTTACCAACCAGTAAAGTTCAGAGTACAACATGAGTGGATAGATGGTCAACCTCGGCTAACCATCCTTGTGAAATTTAGTATCAAATAACCCACCCCCACCCCCGTTGTACTATTGCCCAATACATTGACTTCTTTGTACCCCCCTGCTCTGCCCACCCATCAAGACAGTTTGCAAACCAAGGTGTCCATTGAATGGCTGCTCCTAATTCCTTTAATATCCCTTTTGCTTCTATGATTTTGTATCTGTGCTTCCAATGGTCACTCCTCATTACTGACCTTAGTGTCCCCTTCTATTATTATATTGTTGTGTCTCATTTCCTTAGCCTTTTCTAAACCTGCCAACACAGCTTTCAGTTCTGCTCTAGTTGAATTTCCAACAACTTTAGGTCCAGAATACATTATCAAAACTTCATCCAAGTAATTTCTAACCATTTCTCCTATCCCAGAAGGGTCCGGGTCGCCTAAGCTGCACCGTTCAAAATTCAACTTGATAAATGGCATCCACAATGGGTGCCACTCCACTTGTATTTTTTACCTGTTTAGAACAAAATCAGCCAATTCCCTTCGATTTCTTTTTTTTTTTCTGAAATATCAGTAGAAAATTTTCATTAAACTTAAAAAGAGGTACACTTCCCTTCAATTTCTTATAACATCATCAGTCTTAGATGGGGCAAACAACTCCATAGTCCAAACGAAATATGCCACTTGGATAGACAAGTGTTTTAAAAAGCGCAAGGGGCTTTTCCAACCAATTTCCCACTTTCTCTCAGCCCCCCAGCTTGCCAACCAAGGACAATTACCCTTGGGTATTAAAGTCCCCAATGCCAGTCTCCCCCTCAATTGTAGAGCCTAGTTGGGCTCAGGAAATAGATGTTTGGTTAAGCAGGAGATGTTTGTTGAGATCATAAGATTGCTAACAAAAGTGATGAAACTATTTTTAATGTTCCTTTGGTAGAGTTGTAAGGAGAATCACAAAGACAGAGGTCAAATGAGAGGTTGCAACAAGAGCTTCTGATGTTGTTCTAGTAACAGAAGATGAACAAACTTTGCAGTTTAGGGATAAATTTGAGGTGTAGGCTTTGGAGGGAGGTAATATTGGTCTTTCTAAGCCTCAAGGGTTGAGGAGCAGGTAGATGAAGACTAGGGATGAGCAATTGGGTCAGTTTTACCCGGAACCAATTGGAACCAACCCTACCCTCTGTTACCTGGAAAGGTCCAGTTCCAATTTCATTGAACCAACCCCCACCCAAGCCAGTTCCATGGTCTGGGGTTTATGCTACCTGAACCAACCGGCGGAACCGGCCTTTGTTGGCCTGGGTGGAACCAGTCTTGGTACCGAACTCAGAATCGATGTTGGAACCGACCCCCAAAGTATAGATTTTCCTAAAAACAAATCCTATATTTTGAGGAAGTTAAGATTTGAACCCAAGCACTCATGGTTACAAAAGCCATGGACTAAATTTACCATTGATCCACTTAAGGACATTGATAATTTTTCTTCAATTTAATATAAGAATTACTAAGCAATGTAAATCAATGGAGATAATATTTACAAAATGTAAATTACTCAGTTAAGCAACATTTTTTTTGATAAATGAGAGTAGTTTTATTAATTCAAAAAACAGCAGTACATCAGCCTAGGAAGAGACATGAGGTGTTACCTCCCCCTAGGACTGAGTCGTAAACACCAAACAAACACAAGCCTGAAGCACAGTTACAAAGTGGCTCCTGGAACTATATAAGCAATATTGTAACATATATAATGTTTTAAACTAATTTCCATTCAATTATTATTAGTGAATGTAAACTAATGTAAATCATTTAGGTTATTTGTGGATTATGTTTTATTTTCAGCAAAGATGAAATCGAGTCAGAACTGAGGGATGACAGTGATGATGAGGTGCACATTGATGAGACATCCAGTTGAAATTTGGATGGATATTCAGAAAGTCATGAATAGATAGGTGGATGTGAGTAAAATTTTGGGTCTGTTTTTTCTAGGCGGGGAAGGCTAAGTAGGCTTTTAGAAAGCTGGATGAAAAAAGTAACGAAAAAGAGAAAGTAAATAAGGCAGAAAGTGGTTTTGATTTAAGTTTTAAGGAGCTTCAAGAGAGAGTGATTTCTTCTAGAGGGGATGGGGACAAAATTTAAGGAGGGGTGAGAAGTATGGAAAGGAAATAATTGCACTTTGAGTTCGAAGAATGTTGAGAAGGTTTCAAATGTCATCGGACATTTCAGATGACGGAACTCTAAAGAATCATCATCCTATTCGGGTTACAAAGGCTTTTGCATTTTTTCTATCAGCAACACAAAATTTGATTCATTAGATTACAAAGAACATATACAACAAGAAGTTGTGGGCAGAAAACAGAAAGCCCAAGAAGAACTCTATCACATTATTTACAAAACAGCGCAGAACATGGATTGTCTTTGAATTCCTTGTTTAGCTAAACTGTTTCCAGACCTCCTAATCCACTTTATTTGGATCATCATGTCTTTTGATATCTGCTTGAAGCGCCTGAACTCAATCCTTAGCTTCCATATTACCCCTTCCCCCTTTTTCGCAATTTTACTAGGCTGAAAAGGGGTTTATTTGGGTCAGACCTAACAAAAAGGTGAAAAGGTCAAAGAGAACAGTCAAAATAAGTAAAAAGGAGTTCGCTCAAGTTGCTGAAGTTGTGAAATAATCCTTGCAAAGCCTGTTTAACCTGGTGTGTGGGATTGGTATGGTCGCGTTGTTTAGGTTTTGTTGGTGTTTAGGGGTTAAATGTGGGAAGGATTCAGGTGGGTGGTGGTTGTTTTTGTTTGAATGGTTGAAAGATGGCTTTAGTGGTGTGATGAATATTTGCATGAATTTTCTGTTTTCTGTTTGTCTGGGTTGTGTGCGGTGGTTGGATGGATGTGGTGTTGGTTGAAGGATTTTCTTTTTCAGTATGTTCCTCTAACAGGTGATTCCTTATCACCTTGTAATTTCTTTTTAATTTGAATGAAATCTTTACTTTATCTTCAAAAAAAATCTGTGTCAGGCAACTATAATGCTTAAAGCCTTAAACTAATCATGCAAAAAAGATGCAGAAACAGCTGGCTGTTGACTTTCTAACCAAGAGATCTCATGAAGTAGACTTAAACGGTCTTTCGATCTTAGTTCTAGCCAACTATACTTACTTCTGTTGTTCTTTTGTTTTCCTATCCAGATATAATCACACAATCCAAGGGTCCTCTAACCCAGTCCAGGCCCTTTACATGACAATCCAGACTTTATAATTGCACCAAAGAGTCTAAGGCAGATGCAAACTTCAAATAAATATTCTTCAGGTTAATTGTGATTAGATTCCTCTACAATAGCAATTTGCTGTATTTGTTGTTTGCAGTCCATGACACACCATTAGAGGGAAGAACAGTCCAAGTGGGAAATATTGTCTGGAAATTAGACTACCAATTGCATTATCTTCTACTAAACTCAACGAGAGCGCCTATGTCTTGCAAAAAGTGTAGTGGATAAAAACCGAATACACCCATGCACTGGAAAACTTCAGTTCAAGATTGAGACAGACTGATTCTGATTTTTTTTTCTTTCTTTGGAAAAAAATGGATAAAAAGAATGCTCCTTTTTTTGAAAATAAAAACTTATTAATAATAATTGACACCTTATAACACCAGGTAATGAGAAATCACTACAAGATAAAACAAGATGTTAGAGCCGGCTGTACAAGGGTAGTATAGTCCTTTTATGTTTAGTTATATGTATTGTTCAGCTGATGTGGCTCTCACTTAAGTGAGGGCACAATGGTAATTCTTGTATATATTAGAAGAGTATAAATAAAAGATGGGCCGACTAGAGAGATTTGAATTTTTCTCTCCAGTTCGGTTGTGACCTTTTCTCCTTCTTCTCCTTCTTCTCTCTCTTCTCCTCTTTCTTCTGATCTGAACTTATACAACACCTAGTCTGAGTTTTATCATGGTATCAGAGCCACGATAATCAGTTCAGATCAGTCATCTCCTTTCTCTCTGTTCTTCGCATTCCTTTCAAGGGTTTTGCAGAATTCTAATTGATACCTAGAGAGTTTTCCAGAAAGAAAGAAAAGGATTGGTCGTTTTCTCCTTCTGGGGGTTTCCATGGCTCCAATGAGTGCAGTCGTTGTGGTTTTGTGTGGTTGGTAGAAAACCTTCTACTCGGCAATTCGAAGAGGGCTGGTTTTGTGATGGTGACAGTGTAGACTTGGTACCCTCTACTCGACAAGTACATGATCTTCGAATTAAGTTGTGGTATGTAGCAAATT